TCCAATGTCACAGCAGTGCGGAATGGTTTTTTTCACCCAACCCCACACACAAACACACACAGATAAAGTTATGTGCTTGGCAGTTTAGAGTGAGGCAGAAAGATATGGACGACAGAGCTGCAGGCAGAAACAGTCAGAGAGAGGGAAGGATGGAGAAAAAAAAAAAAGATGAAAGGAAGCATGAGAGAAGGCTGCAGGCAGAAAATAAAATTGGTGCGACTGTGATATAGTAGCATGTACATGTATTGGGCCCCATTATGAAAGGCACGTGACAGCTTAATAGGACCCTGGCTGCCAAGAAGAAAAAAGAAGTTCTGAACAGCAGGGTATGTGCTCTATCTTCTCTGTAGGCGTCACACATATGCTGAGTAAACTATTCAGAGGAGAACAAAGGGTCTCATTAAACTGGACGTTGTGACGCGTATTGATTTCTCTCCATAGAATCCACAACGCCTATTGTTTGCAGATCCTCACATCAGATCTGTGCTGTCATTGCTGCGGCACACATCAATATGCAGCTCTGTGGTGCATTACCAAAGGGTTAATTACATACTTGTAAGCAATTACTCTCTTAATGTAGCATAGAATCCTCCCCCCAAATTGGAATCTGGATCAAAACACATCAAGGCGTCAGCCAGTGATAGCATCTTTCTGATATAGTGTCAACTAAAACATAATAGACGTTGGACCTTCCGTGTATATGGCGGACCGGGTTTGAAGCCTACTCTAAGGTGAAGTCCATACAGACAAGATAACAAAGATGAGAGGTTTCACGTGACAAGTAAAGGTCTGAGAAAACTGAATGACTGGAATTCAAAATGTCTCTTCAGTTATACTGTTAAAGCTCTCATCCTAAACAAAAATACTTTGACCTACCCAACTCTCTATATTACTACAGCCATGGTTAAAGAATCATGTGTCTGTCCTAAAATATGGGTGGCAGATTATGGTGGGAAGAACAGTTGGTGACACAGAAATACAATTTGCAATCTTCTCTGTGGTGTTTGGTGGCATGGAGGGGGGGGGGGTCTTATTGGACACTAGCCTGCGTCTGGTAGTCCTGTCACAGCCCGGATGGGGTTTAAGTGTGTGTGTGTGTGTGTGTGTGTGGTGTGTGGTGTGTGTGTGGTGTGTGTGTGTGTGTGGTGTGTGTGTGAGAGAGAGAGTGACTAAGTGAGAGAGAAAGGGAGAGAGACATCAAGTGAGAAAGAGAGCAACAGAAAGAGAATGAGAACAAACAGAGAGCTCCATTCAGGTCCGATCCACAGACACATCATTCAGTCTGACATGACGATACATCTCTGTGAGCACAGTATTCGTATAGGGCCTCACCAGGCCAGTCACACATGCATCATTCACACCCACACACGGACACACAAGCACACTTCTTGCTGAGTCTTGCCTACACTGCTACAAGGCATTTATATCACTATGGAGAATCTTTCTAAGATCCCCCATTCATACTCATTCATAGCTCCCCCCTTGACGTGAACACATTGCAAAGATCTTCCATGCAGCTTATTCGTATAAGTACACTGCCCTCAAATTGTAATGAATGTCTTCACTGCCAAGGTTGAAGTGAGAGTTTATCCATTAGCAAGCCATAATATTGACAGGGCGGTGCTCCGCGGGTCCAAACTCCAGCCTTGTAGCCGTAACATTGGCCGACAGACAGGGGGTAGTATGTCAATGCGAGGTGCTTACAGGCCGATAAACGCTGCTGTTCCAGTTCCTATAGGCAGCCCTTGATGGACAGCACGCGGGGAGAAAGGGAGAGAGGGAGGGAGACTCGTGAGAGGGGGAGAGTGAGTAGTGCACAGTGCTCTTACAGCTCTTAAGAGTTTAGAACTGAGCTGGAATTTGGTGAAAGGACAAGGAGGCGACACACAGATGAGATAGGATTATCAAACTGCTCAGGACTAAATGTTTTTCCCCTCAGACCTTGACAGCAGCAGAACACACACAAAAACACACAAGAATACACATCCTCCAAGATGACAAGCACACAAATGGGAACATTCAGGCAGGAACGAGCTGAGAGCCACATTAACACTGAAAAATAAACACGCAGATGCACACGGTCAGCCCCCGTCACACTGACACAGACAAGCAGATTCAGCCTGCAGTAAAACAGACTTTTAACCTACTCCACTTTACCTCTCAATTGCAAGCTACACACAGCAACTAATAAACCACACGTCAGCCAGCAGCATATGCTGTTTGTCAAGTTTGTTTTCAGCTGTCCATCAAAGAGCCATTAAAGTGGCTCAAGTGGCAAAAAGCATGAAATCCAATCATAGCACAATTACTTCCTTCACCGCACAACTAAAACACATGTAAATGCTACAAAACATCTATGAAAAAATGTTTTTATAATTAGTAAGTTAAAAGTAAGATGTGTTACACATGTTCATAAATACATGGACCTTTTGGTTAAACATCTAATAAATGTACCAAATATAATATTAATGTGGCATTGAAGACGAGTATAATGGAATCAACCTATCCACTGCACCAGCCTGTGAAGCCACACTGCCCCTCATGGTGTTTCCAGGATACAGCCTCGTCCCTGCAGCCACGCTCTGTTGAGTGTGCACTAAACAACTACGCAAGCCTTTTTCTTGGAAAAAAAAAAAAGAAAAATAACCCACACGTCTCAAAATGTATCATCACAGCACTTGCGAGAGATCTGCAACAACAACACAATGGCGTGCGATAAGTATGGAGTTATATCAAACAGCATTTGGAAGCACGGCACTGAATTGATGCATTGAGTGTGGAGTGCAGGTGGACAGGGGGAGGGAGGAACCAGCAGAGGGGCTCAGAGCACTCAGTGTGACTGCTGTACTAGGGGACTGTACTTTGCAAGGGCTGGAGCAGCTGCTTTCTGTGCATGGGGTGCAAGAGAGGGCGGGGAGGGAGGGAGGTGAGGAAGGAGGGAGCGATGGAGCAGGAGAGAGACAGAGTATAAAGGGACCCACATCACACTACATGGTTGAGGCGACAGCGTGTGCTGGAGAGCCTGCACCGTTACTCCCCTTGCCCTAATGTCTAGAAATCAGCTCGAGCTCCAACAAACCGTCCCATTCAAGTGCAGACGACACTGATGACAGGAAATGACACAGAGACGCTGTGCCGAAGGGGGCGATTAACCTTCTGTACGAGGATGGAGGCAAAAACCAATGTGTTGATAACACAGTAAGATACTGCGCCGAGAACAAATGCATCGTTAAGACTGTGCTGACCGTAACACTACCCTACACGTTGAGCACTGAGGAAAAATTACTCGTCATTGCTCATCACCACGACTCCTGGCTTTGACTCCATGTGGCACAACTCCAACACGGGGAAAAGTGCGGAGCAATCAAGAGGAGGGTGTTCTATGAGAATGTTGTCTCTCCGAATAACTCAAAATTGGCTCAATAAATTAAAGAAAATCAAACCGTTTAACTGTAATTCGGCAGGGCTGTAAAAGTCTAGCCTACATTTGCTCTTAGTGTGTCACTCAATATTCTGAAAACAACATTTACAGACCACCACAGCTGGCTTTATTAACTACTCAATACAGAAGGACTTGAAGGACATTTAAGAAAAATAGGGAAGTACACAGGAACAAACACAAATTCACACATTTGGCTCACTTGTCTTCTTTACTGCTGTATCAAAGCAAAAATCCTTCAGATAATGTTTTTCAATAATACTGTTTTTATAAAGAACAAGTTCAACTTTAAACTACACACAGTATGTGACCCTAAAGGATACCATTACTTAAGATAAAGTCGCATTAAACTCAGTAGCCTGCTGCATACCACAGAGAGTAAGTCCCTGTAGACGTATTACAATGTTTTCTGTTAACTGGAGTATCCCTAAAGTCAAGCCCTGCGGTCAAGTTCAAAGCTTGGAGAGGAGACTGGTGAATCCCAGCGATCCTGGCAGCCACACGGGGATAAATGCGCCTGTTAGGGTTGATTCTGCGTACAAGACGCAGTTGACACAGATACTCTTAAAACGATACATGTGCGGCTCACACTGAGCTCTAAAAATACAGTCACACTACAAGGAGATGTTTGAAAGGCAACGCCGCGAGAAATTATGTTGTTATACACAAGTCGTATGAATTGTGCAACTGTGAAACCCCGATACTACAAAAGAACCCGTTCAGAAATGTTCTTCATAGTACCATGCTTCGATAGTTTCAGGCTAAAAGTCATTCCGACGTGGCTCCCCACAGATGCAGGATATGCCCCAAAACTGCATGAATTAAAATAACTTTTCTTTAAAAAAATAAAATAGAAGTACCACGCTGTGTTCATCATTCTAACTCATGATGTTTCATCAGCCTTTTAAATTTAGCATCTCACAGAATTACTGTTCAGCGTCTTGGCAAACCCATAAAAGAGTATCTGAGAGTTTTGTCTATTTCCATGATTTAGAGCCGAGCCACGACTGAAATCCCAATTGCAGCCAGAAGTCTACACGCCACTAAATGCTAGTCGTACTCACTGGGTTTATCCCCGAAGGCACTGCGTAAATCCGACGCGGAGTCCCCGACACATCCTCCAGTTTTTAACCTTCAGGAGTTTAACGCTACAAGAGGAACACGCTCAAATTTGGGCATGCAGCTCTCTTTGGCTTACAGTGGATGAAGGGCATGGATGATATGAAGCGCCAAACGGAGGGAATCCAGTCAATATAAAAAGTCCCAAGTTGAGAGAAACAGCAGGTCATTGCATTTTTTTCGGCTATTCGCCCCCCCGGGGCTCGTCACACGATCCAAATGGACAGGTTCGGAATGAAACCCACCCGATCGCCGGAGTGCGCAGAGCGGGCATGGCGCAGCTAGAACAGGTGCAACACGCCTCCGTCACCTGGCTGGTGCAGTGGCAACCTCACACCCCCCAAAAAAACAACTGGCTATAAATGGCACCTCGACACCCCTAAAAAAAAAACAGCAGTGGTTTAGGGGGGAAACTAACGTTGAGACAAGCCTCTTTCCTTACCTGTAATCTATGCAGATATCACTTCACAGCCGCATCGACACTGCGGATAAGAGGCACGTCCAGAGCAATCCCCAACTCCTTTTACTCCCCCCAAAAAAATGAGAAATGCTTAGAATAATGTTATATCCTGCTCAAACGGCTTGTCCACTTTAAATCCCCGGTAGAGGTGTAGTTAGAAGGCGATTCCTGCACGGGAAAAAGAAATAGCAGCAGACTTCCAGCAGCATCCCCGATCAGCAGGACTCTACTACGCCGCTCTGAGCGCTCTGAAACACGGGGAGCTGCACCTCCCAATCCCCCGGTGAGGACGCACTTGGTATGCCGTCGGAAAAGCCGCTGCGCCGCACGGGATACCGCAGGAGGCTGTGCTTGTGTGCGTGTGTGTGTGCGCGTGTATGTGTGTGTATATATCGATGTGACTCAGTGCGGTGCTCCTGCTCAACTGAGGTGCTGAGGGTGCTGCGGCGGAGTGCGAAAGGAGGAGAGGGAGAGCGCGGGAGGGACGGGGAAGGAGGGAGAGAGAGAGAGAGGTGCGCTGCCTCAGAGTTTGCAGTTTCGCGGCGGATCTTGATGCTCGGGAGGGACTGGGTAGATGGCGCTTCGCCCGCTGCAAGAAGCGACTGGGGTTTTTTTGTTTTTAACCAAGGATCCTGACTGGCCCGCAGTAAGCTCTCGGGTCTGGAGGGGCCTGCGTTTTAGGGTTACAACTCTCTGGCAAAAACCCTGACCACTATACAATACAACAAACAGTTTATTACTACCATAATCACGTTTATGGTCTAATTCCCTTTGCAGACGGCGACTAATTGCCAGCTGAGGGGAGTTTCACCAGTGTCCAGCAGCTTTTAGGTTGACTTCTTTGAAACAATCGTGTGGACCACTTTTAAGAAGAATTTAAAAAAAGAAAAAAAAAAAACAAGTTGATGTTAAGGTTGAACAGCTGCACCCTTTGAGGGGATATTTTCACCTAAGAAGAATAAGACGGAGGATATGAGATTAAATAGAGCTTATGTTTTGTTAAAATAGGAGGTTTATGTAATGCATCTATCCCGTTGAGAATAGGATTTGGCAGTGCCAAAGGGGAATTTACACAAATACTCTACAATACCGGGGTGAAATGATCAGATCATCGGATTTGAATATCTAATCGCAGGATCATTTAAAGATAGAGATTAGGCAACACAGCAACATAATTACGACACTTGCATAGTTGTAGGGGATTAGAATCTGCATTTTTGTTCTTTGATGATCTTTTAACATGCTTCAGGAGTGTATCCTCCCCCCCATACATTTTAAGCAATTAATATTCTAAAGGCCTAATTATGTAATCATGTCTTTAACGAAATAAGCAGTGTGGGGGTACAGGAATAATGCCCTTTTCCATAAAAGAGCCTCTTAAGCCTACTCCTTATCTTCATATAAGACCATTTAAAACAAATCCATCAACATCGACTAAATATGTCGCACTATATTGAGCCAATGCTGAGGTTTCTTTTGTTTTCATCTCATGAGATAACTACCTAATTAAGCCCAGCTGGCCTGGTGATATTGGTATTTCAAACAGGCAGTGGCGTGGTAGAGGGCTTTGGCAATGGGCTCAAAAAACAAAACAAAAAACAACTTGGAAGAATGGAAAAAATGAGCATGACCGTTTATCCTATATCCTAGCAACTCAAACAAATAGTGTGAGCTCGAGGGTGTGGGGTCTTTTGGGGAGTCATCTTCGCCTGCTGCAGCATCCTCTCCGTCCCCCTCGTCCCTCTTTCCCTCCTCCTCCTCCTCCTCTCTGCTCTCACTTCCAGACGGTTTCCTCGCTTTGAAACACTGCATCAGAGCCCCACCTACAGGCCACAGAAACTTTACAGCCACCGACACTGACAAATAAAGCCGAGGCAAAGTGCCTCACCGGCCCTGCTCTGCTCTGTGACAACGTATGACCACAAGCGTTTTCCTTGGATTTTAACCTAGGTACTGTACAAACCTTCATATGACACAAATGTGACACAAACATCACAGAAAAGTCAGGCCAGATGAGTGATTTACAATGATCTGCTGCCTCATAGAGTCTTCGTGCAAGTAATATTAGGGGTGAGAAAAGAAAGAGAAACATGATGGAGGTCGAAATAGTAGTAATAATAGAATATATAATATTGGGAGGATTAAAGGGCTGAAAGTGGAAGTTTAAACATGTAAGAAATGCCTCTTTTTTCTAAACGCAATATTAACAAAACAGGTAACTGGCATTAACTCATTTGGTTTAGGCTAACCACTACCAAAATGGCGCTGCCTCAAAAGCTTCCCCCAAAACCACCACCAGCAGTTTCATTCAAGAAGAAGACCTTACTTACCTCCAAAAGTCTCCACAGCTGTCTAACAAATAAGTTAACTCCGGTGTTCAAATTCATGTCTAGCACCAAGTCAGACGCCAGGTGAGGCGTTAAAGTAAACAACTATTTAGGTTTAAGCAATTTACTGATTGTAAACAAAAAAGGAAGTGTCGCACCACTAATTAACGCCATCTTGGAGTCACGTGACTATAATCTCGCCCACCTGTGTATTTTATTTTTATTATTCTTTTATTTCTTGCTTCAGTGGCTCACTTGTGAAGCTTCTGCAAAATAAATGCTCAATGTAAAATTACCACAGCGGTACACTTACTACGCCATAGTCTATTGATTTGTGGAGGAACATTTTATATAAACAGGCTTGATAAAAAATGTAGCCTAGAAATGAGCCTGCAGACATCACTTTAAAGTTTTACTTTGCCCTTAGATATCTTTAATTATTTAGAATGCGTTATTCCTCGCTGTATTCAGTATCATATATTCTGTATCTGCTTGTTCAGACACTTGGTTGAAGCTGTGATGGCTATTAATGGCTTCAGTGCTACATCAAATGGAGATATTGAGACTTGGGTATGTTTGTGTACACATTTCCCTAAAAATTCAGCCTGACATACTGCGTATCTTTGGAAACTTTGGGACTTCTACCAGAGTTTAAAATAAAGTCCTGTGGGTGTGAAATGCTTGGCCAGACCGGATGAGTTTGTAAAGATGGACCCACTGGTGGGACTGGATGGCCACTCTGCTTCTTGCCAGGGTAACACTTGGTAGCTTTTGAAAAATCAATACAAAGAATGGGATAAGATAGCTTTTTTGTAAACAAATAAACACATGAAAATAAACAAAAAAGGGTTTTTAACTGCCCTATATCACCTCTGAGAAGGACTGACCTCTTATAAATCAATTCACACAATAAACAAACAATAGCTGTGTGTTTGGGGGTGGTCGCTATTCGACCACATCTCTTTGACAGGCCATTGATTTCCGTATGTCAGATCTGTGCTCATTTATTATACTTTGGTCCTCCTGACAGACTCTGAGGGTATCTCTTGGAGTCATTTGAAGGATGAAAATGCATAGATATCCACAGACCAACTGGCTTCATGTAATTATTCAACACAAGCGCAGTGCTAAATCAACAGTCTGTGGATCTCAATATCAGATAGCTTTCAAACCGCAGCAAATCAATAGTGCTGCAATCTACAGTGACAATAGTCGTTCCATGAAGGGTCAGGATCACACGACCTTATGAAATTAATGTTAAGGTCACTAGTCCATGAGTAAATCAAACAAGCTTGGACCAAATGATAATGGGTCTGTATAATTATGTTTTATCATCGGAGTTCCATATCTGTGTGCTGCATGAGCATAAATTAATTCAATCCAAGGACACGCAGGTTTGTCTCGAAAGCTTAAACACACAAGATTGCCGTGACTTTATAGTAAACTTGGCTGAAAATAAGTAGAAAATTTACATGCATGTCAGGCATTGTATTAAAGAAAAAAAAATGAATGTCCATTGTTCTCTACAATAATATTGGTGTCAGTGACCCTTAAGGTAAGGTCAACTTTATGGTCATTTAACACTAGAGGGGTCCTCAGCAGCATGACCTGTTTGACTGCTAGCAGCTTAGAGGCAAAAGACATTTCAAAAGTAGTTCACATTTATTTGCTGTTTGGAGTTTCATCTCATTTGTCTGCTATAGAATTTGTGTCTGTGCCATCTTTACTTTTAATCCAATAACAGTTAAAGAAATGTAAATTGATCTAAGGAAGGTTTATAGATGTTGGCAAAACAATCCACAAGCAAGTATACAATTTCATTGACCCGACCAAGAAACTCGTCCCTCCGGATATGAGACTTCAGGACTGGTCGAATTACATATTCTTTAAAATGTCAGGAGATTTTAGTGTCATCACTTTTCTGTATATCCATGAGGAATTGTAAATATCATAAATTATAAATATTTTATTATTAAGTTTATTCTTTACCTTGGAAACAGCAGTTGGCACAGTCCGATTACAATGTTCATTAGAAGTTGTTTTGGTACTTGCAGTAGTATCAAAATATCTTCCTCAGCAGATGAGGTTTGTCCAGTTGTCATGGAATTGTACATGTTCAAAATCACATTTTCTGAGGATTTAATCTATGTTATCTTTAATGTTAATACTTGTAGTTATTCCTGATCTTTGGTCCAAACATTTTGGATACAGTATGGTACATTAAGCATAGAAAAATGCTAATTTTCCCGAATTAGAACAGAATAGAATGCCTTTATTGTCACTATACACATAATTAGTAGGGAGAAATGGCAACAGGGCGTGTCAGGCTATTGTTATTCAGGTGTTAAAGTATGAATTTGAATGTTGGTATATTAAGAGTTCAGTAAACCTGTCCCTGCTGTGTGAAAGCCTGCATCTGTGAGGGTAGAGGAGGATGCTAGCTTGGTGCTTGGCTCTTTATTAAAATGCACTGACCAATCTGACTTCCCCATTTGTCTTGCAAATGAGATGATGACTTATGGAGGCAACATGAATAGCTTTGATGAAGCCTCCTTTTTAATGCAGTCAAGTGGGTTGGAGGGAGGTGCGCGTGTGTATCTGTGTGTCTGTGTGGATCCTGTTGCCAGCTGGCACACTGTTATTTCAGCAGCTCTCCTCATCTTGCCTAAAAACTGTGCCTGTGTGTAGCTAAACAGAAGCCCGAGTTGCGTCCCTGTGTCCTTTTGAATTAACTGGGTGAACCCCTTTAAACGCAGTTGTACATGGTTTATCTTAAGCCTGTTGAGATACAGAGATCACCCCACAGTGGTACACTGTTCCCGGGGGTCTTCCCCTTTCCCCTGCAAACCCCAACACACACACCCTACACACACTGTATCACTCACATAATAGACATTCATCACACATCTGTCACTGTATATCCCTCAATGCAGCAGGCTGCTAAATCACGCATACAAAGCATGTATATATCCGCTTTATGGTCAATTTACAAGTCATTTCTATCCTAGGGATGATAATATTTATGAGCTGCCAATGGTGATGCCGGATTTAGTGTGTCCATCTTCATAAAAGTGTCTGCCCATTCCCTTCACTCTCTCAAAG